AAGATGATTTTGTATCGTATTTGAGGAAAATTTGACGAAAAAATTAGGTTTTAATGATAGATTTACAGTTGAAAGTCAATAAATTCTTTGCAGAGCGCGGATCAGCTGAGAGAAACACGTCCACTCTCCCCTTTCTTTTAACAAAATGAAAACACACTATTGACAAAGTGACAAAAAGATATATTTATCTGTCATTATTTTAAAAGAATTCTTTTGTTTACTATAAAATGAATTCTTTTTCGTTGAATTATTATTGACTGAAAAATTATTTTCCGGTTCTAAGCTGAGAACCAAGAACCGCGATTCTGTTCTAAATTCGAAAACGGAATCGCGGTTTCTTTCGTTTCGGTTCTAAGTCGAGAACCGGAACCGCGAATCGAACATCCCTAGTCAGGAGTCTTTATCTGACTGGTTGACCTATATGCTTGGCAAACATTTTTTTTTCCAAACAGTATTGTTTTCCGTCACTGATTGCTGGAGAGCGGTTTGCGTTTGTCTCAACATACATGTTAAAATAGGGCCTGGATAAATATGACAAGCCAAGTAGACTTTAAATCTGGTAAAATCTTTATTTTCTATAGTTTTGTGTTGTAACACGCTTTTCACTGAGTGTACAAATTGATATTAAAATGAAATACCGAAAATAAATCCTCTGTTCTTATAGCTATCGTCGAAGTAGCTGATAAGAGAATAAATATCAAATAATGCAACATTTAATACTTCTAGAAGACTTTTGTTAAAAACTAGTTATCTTAGAAGATGACATTCTATATTGAAGAAAAACGAAACGTTTAACGTATCGTTTTCGTTTCAGATTTGTTTCAGTCATCAATATCACACTTTCGTATCTTTATTTGTTAATTTCTTGTCATTACATCTCGCTCTACTAAAAGTATTTGACTATTATGGCATATTCTGATTCAAATTTAATACCAGACAAGCTGTCCATTGAAGAAGCTGTAGCTGGCTTAGCTGGCTATTCGTTTGATATTCACGATCTATTTACCGATATTGATGTGACAGGTATGTAAGAGTTTAATTTTCAATATCTACTTGTGATTAAGTCACTGTTACTTTCTCTTGTAGATGCTCAGTGTAGTGTTGAAACATATGAGTCCCAACAACATGTAAATTGTAAGTGTCTTTTAGAACCATTACTTTCATTAATTAAAAGTATTCTCAGCATTTTAAATATTTTTTCATGTTTATAATAAGACTTTGGATAGAAATAGAAAAAATTTGAATGAGTCACTCTAATAAAGATTATTGATAGAAATTTTTCTCCGTAGTTTAAAAGCGTGTAATATTTGAGAATACGACAGAATCGTATTTTTGAGATCCTTTGTCACAATAATGGATTAACAACTTTATTTTTGTCCTTATAGTACTGAACACAGACGATTTAATCGCAACTAACCTTATTCAAAAGGATAATCTTAAACATCAAATTCAAGAAACAGGTACACGTAAAAGATCATTCTTATATATATAATTATTTCATGTTTTCAATATTAGCTCAAAATTTGATAATTAGTAAAAATTCTAAGCATGAAATAACACGATCAATTCCATTATCTCAATCAGTTGGAATTATGCCACTTTCATCAGATCAATTACAAATTCTTTACCAATTAGAAGAAATGTATCGACCACGATATAAAAGTGATTATTTTCCGGAAAATGGCAAAGTTAGAAAACCACGCTACGTAGCTGATAGATACGGAAACCATTTTATTTCGTTAAAAGTAAATAACTATGAAAAACATTTGTTTTAATGAACTGTGAACTAATAATTACTCTTTCAGATTCCCTGCATTAATTTTTCAAATAATCGTGAAAAATATATTCGAGTAGATTGGGTTACGGTCCCAATAAATGGTCAAAGATATCAAATGCCTTATCAATTTCAAACGGAAAATGATAAACATGATGTTCCAGATGAAAATCCAACGTATATACTGGTCAATGAAGATAAGATGGATGATAATATAATGAAGTATGCAACAGGTTTATCTTCATTATTATAAAACTCATTCTCAAGATCATTGCTAAATATTTCAGATTATACTTGGTATTGATAAAATCCAAACAAGATATGTTGAAAAATCAGCAGCCATTGAAATTTTTTAATGCATCAATATACGAAACAGAAAGTACGATCTCAAATTACCATTATTTTGATATGTGTGATTATCAAATATTTAATTATATTCTTTATAGCACACAGTTTGACACAATTGTTCCCTCCAAAATTATTAATAAATCGATTTCAATTAGAAAAATCTCAATTAGCATTTACTTTATGCACAAAAAATGATAATGGTACAATGAGACCATATTGGAATTCTATTGTATTCTCCAATGTTATGACTGAAGGTTTGTTTTTTTTATACTGAAAGTGGATTTCATTTACAGTTCAAATATTTATGTTTATCCTGAACAAAGAAAAGAAGTTCCTATTGACTAATATGCAAAAGACAGTAGTTCTAGATATTCTGACTATCAGAAATTCCATTCTCATCATCTAAATCTAATATTAATCCAGATAGATGCTGACTTATTAAACATGATCTTAAAATATTTCATTTCATTTTTCAGTATTTCTATTTACAGGTATACCCCATTCGGACCAAAAAAGTATGTTTTTTTGCTCTATTTTAGTTCACATAGTTTTTATATAAATCTCTTTTAATTTTAGAGACGCGAAAACATATCGGTAACTTTCACTTTTATTTAACTTATACACGTTATTTAATATTATATAGATGTAAAACGTTTTTTTTTATTCTAGTGGCTGATAATCAAAATGAGATTCAGTGTCCATCTTGCTTCCAGAATTTTAATACGAGTTTAACCGCTGATTATTCTAGTCCGCCTACTACACCTGCAACTAAACGCAAGAGGGAGGATAGTGTAAATTACAATTCAGTAAAACGGTACAGTTCTGCTATTTTAACTCGTTCATTACAATATCATATTTCATTTGTTTTAGACTAAAAATTGATACTCAATAGTGAAGAGTGCAATATTCTAATAGTTCGAAAACAAAATCTATATTTAGTCTGGAAATATTTTATTTTATCTAAATATATGTCATAAAGTGAATAGCGATTCGTTTCCACATGTATCAACAATTATGTCCATTTACAATAGACACTCAATAGGTGTCTTCAGCTTCAATTGAATCTAGTCAGATGTTTACGCATCATAACAATGGAAGTCAACTGGGATGATGTGACTTCTTCTATGCTTTATTCGTTATAATTCAACAATGTTCAACAATGGTATATTCGAGGTCGATGTTGAACATCCATCGCTTTCATTCTGCTAAAAATCTTTCGTTTTACGTATTAATCAGTTTTAGTACATATCTTCGTTTTTGTATTCTCTGTTTACAGTATTTCAAAATTGAAATACTACAGATAAAATCTCTGTTGGTCGAGCACGCCCCAATATATAAGCGTTTTTATAAAATCATGAAAGTCCCGGTGAAGTATTCGACTAACCTCACCATTTTTTCCACCTTTTGTTATAATGATATTGTAATAAAAAGGTGATAATACATTTGTTTTTTATTTAATTCGGTACTTTCAAAAATACCGGTAACTTTTTAATATAGATTTTTGTTCGTAGAATATCGAATTATTTTCCAATACTCTTGTGCCATTTTTTTTTGAATATCAAAATACTCTACGATGCATGCTTACCTTTTTACTTTCGTTTAAAATGTTAACTGCACTGGGGCTATTTTCATTTTATCTTAAAAAGTTTCTGAATTGTTCTTTTTTTAATTTTCAAATAAAATAAACTAATGTTGTAGATTAAATAATAATAGTAATTCTAGTGATTACTTAATTTCAAAGAAAAATATGAGATACTGACCCTAGTGAATGTACTCAAGCATAAGTACTCATAAGCGTACTCATATAAAAAGATGCACCGAGTACTCATGCATTTTTTTACGCTCTGATGTGCGAGTATTGAGTACTCATATGAGAATTTCATGAGTATTCAAATGAGATTTTCTTTCATTCAAAATGAGATTCTTTTTTCTGCTTTTTTCTTGGTCTTTCTTGATCGGTATCTCTCAATATTTCCCTTCTCGTGAAGGGAAACAAAATATGTTGTTCTACTCATTTTATGCGTCCGATACAGCGGTAGTATCAAAACACTACCTCTTTTGATCCGTTTGAGCAACAACAAAACCATGTCAAAAATCGACGAAATTATCAAAACATCACTTTTTGAATTTTCACTGATTTTCCCTATAATTTTGTGGACAATTTGGCATCCATTAATCCTTTTCAAGACCAACTCGTACTTTCTAAGTTTGCCAAGAAGGAGACTCTGCCGATGCCTATGTTTACAGACAAACATCTTGTTGGCTTCTGATGAAAGACAAACGATCTTTATCTTCTAATCGGTTGAGTCGTAGAAAGCAAGGAAGCTAGACTATGATTGATTTTTACCTTAACAGAATAAAAATATTGAAAATAATGCTTCTTTCGCCTGTACCACCAGATCTAATGTTTCCATCGAGATGCTGCTTGCTCTTCTTTTCGCGAAGGCAACTGGGCTTTCGATCATTGATGACCGTAGACAGATCAAACTAGATTTTTAGCATAATTTTAGTGCGATTGCTTGCGTTTCTGTCTAATTAGCAACCTGAAGAAGAATTAAAACCTGAAAAAGAAAGAATTGAACGTTAAATTTATTGCTAGAAAGGGAAAAATACCGAAAGTAAGGTGTTCTGCATCGCTTTGAGTAATTGAGAAGAAAATCATGTAATTCTATAGCTAAGACAGTTCATGAATATTTTGTCGAAATCCTTATTGAGACTTTTATGTTTTCTTTCTCACACTTTGAAACACGGCACTTCGCTCATTTCACGCAATTATTGAAACAAAGTCATTTGAGCGAAAAAGGTGGACAATATCAGCAGAAGAAATGAACTGAATGCTCGAAATTTTTAGAGAATGCGAAGCAACTTCTAAAGATTCAAGATCTTTCGGTTTTGTCTGAAACCATTTTTGTCTAAATCGCTAATGCAACGAAAATAAAGAACAAGTAAACAAACAACTAAGGACATCCATATAGAGGAATAAGACAATAATAAATGACCTAACGCAATTATCAATGAATAGTAGTGACAGTAATTATTATAGTCTAACGGCTATGGGGAAAAAAGTGCTTCCTTTCGTGTTTTTCCGTCGATGTTTTGCGGGCGTTTCCCCCCACCTTAAATATATTGCAAAAGAACCGCATTTAATAATTATCCATTCAAAATAAACTTGGGGTTGATACGTTCAAAATGCACCTCAACTATGCTAGTGTAGTCGAAGTGCATTTTAACCGACGTTCATTTATTGTATTTTCTTCTTTCTTTCTTCGATACATACACCGGTGATGAGTCTGAATATTGTCCTTTTTCGACTGAAAATATTCTTCTCTTTAGTATTATATTTAATTTAATAACCTGAAATGTTTTTTCTTTTTTCTGTACACTGTAAAAAAAAATGTGTATCTAAAAAGCACGGTTTATCATGCTTTCTTTGGCATCAAGGCTTTTAACAGACCGTTTTTAGGCCGTTTTTAAAAAGACGTGGAAATGAGCCGTTCATTATCAATCACTATCTCATGAAAAAAATGATCATAAAAAAGCCATAAAAATGACCGTTTATGACGTTGTTAACGGACCGTTTTTATCCCGTACCATTTATGAGCCGTTTTCAGGTCGTTTTTTCACCGACCGAAAAACAGCTAGTTAAAGAGATCTTTTTTTCGTCTTTTTTACGCTTTTAATGGTCTTTAAACAGGCCGTTTTTAGGACGACTTTGAATTGCTCATTAATTAACCATTAATGGCTCATGTTGTTCCACCGAGAACTTTATGTATATGCATCCAGTGCCAACAGCGTAACAAAATTTTCGTATGAAATAAACAAGTATCACCAGTTAAATTATGTGATTTAGTTTTCTTCACCTTTAATAGGTATGTATACGCATTTGGATGTGGAACTATTTTCTGTTTTCAAGACAATAGCTAAACTGAAACCATATTATATTAATGCACTTTTTTTTAAACTAATAAATGTTTTCAGTATACTTAATTTCTTTTGTAAAAATAAGTTTCAATATTCACTAAGAAACGAAAAGAGTAGATGTGCACATTCGAAAGAAAAAATCTTTTTAAACATCAAAAGCTAGAAAAAAACTGTACAAAGAGAAATGCTTAAGCGCTATTAGTCGATTATTTGCACTCATTTCTAAAGAAGTAGTTTATAAACTCCCATTTTTTACAATTTTAAAACAATGCTAGTTCTAGTTTGTTTTAGATCGAAGAATAAAATCTTGTATCATCAACTAATATTACCTTTTCTACATGTTAAAAATACCTGCACAAATAGTGCTTTATAAAAGTTAACCAGGAAAAATATTCGATAAAACTAGTGCAAATCTAAGTTTTTTCTCTTTGCTTAAAGAAACTTAAAAATCTTTTTTCTTCGACGTACTCATATACTCTTTCATCAATATCGAGGATAATCTACTTCGCGAACTCGTCGAAATATTTTCGAGAGGAGGACCATGTAATAAACAAACACCACAAGAAAACAAAGCGATAAAATAAATAAGATTAGGACTGAAAAATGATATAAATGTTGGAATAATACTATATAATAATAGATTACGTAGTTCAGTTCCTTTTACATGTGCCAATTGACTGATTCCCCGCACTGTTCTATTAAAAAAATGTGGAAACTTTTGTTCTGTTAATTGTGCATCAAGTAACACACGTTCTGTTGGACGTAAATTATTTGATAAATGCATCAACATTGTTTTCGTTTGTCTGAGCAGTGTAGTGTGTAAATAATCAATCATAATACATTCAGGGAATTGTCGATTAAACAAATCGAATAAAACTGCTCCACCAAAATGTCCATAGCAATCTTTTCCAGGACGACCTTCCGAAGAAAATTGCTCGAATGAAATAGCATCTCGCATAACGAGTACTTGTTCAAAAGGATAAAGCATTTTTCCCTGTGACACACCTAAATGGAATGTTAAAGTGTTAAACATATGTATCGAAACAAACTCACACATTTATACTCGCGGTTACAAACTCTAAAACTTAAATTTATTGAATCCTAGTCGAATGAAAATTCTTTTACTGCAAAAACAGAAGTGCAATATTCGTATTATAGTAATATTTTTCTTCATAGGAGCTAATTAGTGGGAAGACAAGTGCAGCAATAGTAGAAAACTAAGAGTAGGAATAAATCTAGATAAAGGGACAAGTAATTCCTTTTTGCTATCGAGAACTGTACTACTGGCCTCCAATATTACACTAGCTTTTCAAAACAAACTAACTAACTACAAGTTTTTTCAAGTGAAAGAACAGGTTCTCTTAGGTTGACTTAGGTTTGGTTCTACAAAAAACTTAGTTCTCAGTAAAAAGTAAGTAGTGAGTTCGAAATTAATCTTCATAAAAGATTGCTACAGAGAGAAAATGCGAAGTTTGTATCGATACATGCATAAATAAGTACCTTTAGCGTAACAATAGAAACATGCATGATAACCTGCATGACCTTTAAAATTCAATGCCAATGCAAGAGCTGGCAAATTACCAATTAATGCAAAATAAACAACGTTGAAGAAATATATATTTAAGTTATCTGACTCCATTGAAATGCCAGGTATTTTTAATTTATTTAATTCTTCAACCACATGTTGCAACCAAATAGTGACATTTA